TCCACTCTCCTCAGCCTCCCAAAGGCGCGGGATGACAGGCTGAGCCACCGAGCCCGGCTCCTGCTTGATTTTTAGTAGACATTTATCCCTCTATTCGTGGAAACAGGTGCTCAGATTTTGACCCTTATGACAAGTCTCGGGTGATGTTCCCGCTTATCCAACCAGTTGTTCCTCCTACTCCTTGATCCCTCCTCTGGTTACAGAGGCCACACCTCCTGTCCTTCTCACTTGCTCTCCCTCATTCTCCTGCAGCTGGGGCATCCAGCGGGGCCTTGTTACACCCCCCCCACACCCTTATCAGGAGGGCCTGCAGGTCACGGCACCTCGTCTTCCCTTCTTTTAAATACTCATTGACTTGTTCATTGAGATATTATCAAACTTTGTTGATAACACAGTTCTAACCCCAACCTTTAATTTTTTTTTTTTTTTTTTTTGAGTGGGAGTTTCACTCTGTTACCCAGGTTGGAGTACAGTGGCACGCTCCCACCACTGTCGCCTCGGCCTGCTGGGCTCCAGCGATCCTTCCACCTCAGCCTTCCAAGTAGCCAGAACTACAGGCACATGCTACCACGTCCGGCTAATTTTTGATTCATCATAGAGATGAGGCTTGCCAAGTTGCCCGGGTGTGTCTCGAACCTGCGGGCTCAGGCAATCCACCACTCACCTTGTCCTCCCAAAGTGTTGGGATTACAGGCTGAGCCGCCGAGCCTGGCCTAACCCTAACCTTTAATTCATGGTGAGGTTTTATCATGACCTGTAGCACTGCCCACTTTTATTTGCTTCTTTATCACCCAGTCATGTGTTTCCTTACACAACATTTGCCATTGTTTCCCTTATTTTTTGATTTTTATGGATATTTCATTTTATTCTCTTTCTTATGTCCCTTCACCTGAGAGACCTGTTTCCAGGATGGAGTAACTCAGACCTCCCTCAATACCTGTCACCTCGCGCTGGCTTCCCATTTCCCCCACCCTCTCATTCATTCATCCATACAGCTATTCTTTTTTTGCTTTGCTTTAATTTTGGCATTTATTTATTTATATGGAGACTTTGGGTGCCCAGAGTTAGATAATTGTTTTGTGGTGTTTAGTTTTTGGGGGGTTTTTTTTGAGTCAAGGTCTCACTCTGTCACCCAGGCTGAAGTGCAGTAGCATGATCTCAAGGGAGCCCCAACCTCTTGGGCTCAGGTGATTCTTCCACCTCAGTATCCTGAATAGCGAGACTAAGGGTGAGCACCACCACAGCCAGCAAGGATTTTTTTAATTTGTTTATTTTATAGAGATGAGATCTCACTATGTTGCCCAGGCTGGTCTCAAACTCCTGAGCTCAAGCAGTCCTCCTGCCTCGGCCTCCGAAATTGCTGGGATTACAGGTGTGAGCCACTGCACCCAGCCTAGATAATTTTTGGTAAAAGTACACTCTCACCTTTGGCTCACCAGGACCTCTTTTCTTTCTCCGCTAATTCTTAAACTTCTTTTCTGCTGTTTATTCATTTCCCTATGTCGGGAGCATCTGTGATTTGTTTGTATCCTCGTGCTCGCTCATAAAAACCCAACACGGTCCTTTTTGTATGGTTATACCGCCTCCAATTTTTTATCCTTTCTTCCATTTATCTGTTGTTTTGTGGTTTTTTTTCAGCCTTCCCTTTGGTCACTTGTTCCCTTTCACCTTTTCATTTTGGGGACCTCAAGGTTTACTCATCATGCATTAGGAAATGCACTCATTCATTCATTCTCATCATGCATTCTCATGCACTCATTCATTCATTCTCTCTTTTATTGAGGCTTTATTTTTGGTTGACAAATGTCAGGGGCATGTGCTTGAATTTCACATATTCCTGAATATCCATCATGGCCTGACACGGGTTCAGGTGTGGCCCCCATGGACTTAACTGATTCGAACGTTTATTGATTTATACACTGATTGCCTGGGCGTCAAAATGGATAAGCCCTAGTTGGGTTTAGCGTGTGCTCTCACCCTGGCTTGCTTACTTCTTCACCTAGTTATTCGTTTAGTCATTCCCTCATGTTTCATCCATTCGTTCATTCATCAAGTCACTTATTCTATAACACAATAGATACCAGTGAAACAACCTCCCAACATAAAAACCAGAACATTCACATTTTAGCCTCCCGCCAGCTTGCCCACCAAGGTAGACACAGCCCAGTGCCCAGAAACACACACTCGTGGCAGATGCAGAGCAGAGACACAGTAAATGCTGGCTTATTATCAGATATTTCCAGGGCTTATATGTCCTAGACATGCTGGGGGCAGACCTGAGATCGCGGCCCACCAGTTCCGGGTCCCGTTCTGCCCCAAAGACCCTGGAGAATGGCCATGCCCAACAGAAACCTGTTTCAAGACCCCAGAACATACAGAGACACACACACACAGTACACAGAGTCCCAGTGGGAAGCGACGGACACAGAGTTCATTTTTACACCGGTGGCTTTGTCTGTAGCAATATGAAAATATGTTGGCCTTTCAAGGCCAGTACAAAAGAAACTACCCATTACCATTGCTGAGTGTCTCAATCCCAAACAACAAAGAGCTTGAAGAGGGTTAGCCGGAAACTTTGAAGATGGAAAATCTGCCCATTATGTTTTCCAGACACTTCGAGGGGGTGAGCAGAGGTCACTAGAGCGGGGGGCCCATTTGGGCAGCTGGTCCCTTGGAAGGGCTCCCTCCCCAACCCCAGTTAATGGGGCGCTTCCGTCCCATCTCCCCTGGCAAAGGGAGACTCAATCATCAAAGGGCCATTCCCCGAGAAGAGCGAAAAAGACATTTCTTGGGTTCCAGTGCTCGAAGGTGCCTATAGGATTCTTGTAGCATGGAGACACCACCAGGAGGCTGGGCGCGCCCTGTCCCCCAGGTCTGCCCTCGACTTAGCTCACCAGGTACCCACCTCCCGCATGCAGACCCCTGGCAGTGCCCACCCGTCCCCTGGCGGAGGCAGCCACCCCTCTGCCCCCGATCACCACCCAGCAGCAAGGCCATCCATGAGCTCTTCATACTCTGGCCACTTACGATTTAGAGCTGGAGGGGGCTGGGTTCCACGTCCAAGGTCCCTTCGATGTAGGATTCCAGGTGGTGGCTCTGGGTGGAAAAGAAAGCATGGGGTCCATGAATAGAACTCACCCAAGTGAGCAAGGAGGGGGAGAGGTGGGTGGCTGAGAGGTCCTGGCTCCGGGGACAGAGGTGGCCTGACTCCGGAACGTGCCAGCCTCCAGCAAGCGTGGAATCGGAGAAAGCCAGTCTTTCTCATCTCACTCTGCACTCACAAGCTCACTCACTCCTCAGCTGCCCATGGGGAGGACGGGGCAAATGCAGAGACGGCAAACAAGGCTCCTGACCCAGTTCCACCCAGGGGCCAAGTGTTGGTCTGTGGATGGAGCCCAAACATTTAGGGTCACTGCACAGATATGGACCAAGCTGACACCTCAAAGGGCGTGGCCCACGCCCTCAAACGTGACCTGCCTTGAAGGCAGGGCATGAGCCTGTGTGCGAGAAACCAGCAGTCCACTGTGGAGACCACAGAGGCAGGGTGTGGCTGGGAGAGCCCCGGGCTTTTATTTTTCTTTTGAGTCCAAGTCTCACTCTGTTGCCCAGGCTGGAGTGCAGTGGCACATCACAGCTTACCACAACCTCAACCTCTTGAGTTCAGGTGATCCTCCCTCCTCAGCTTCCCAAGCATGTATCACCACACTGTGCTATTTATTTTATTTTATTTTTTGTAAAGACAAGGGCTCACTATGTTGCTCAAGCTGGTCTCAAACTCCTGACCTCATGCAATCCTCCTGCCTCTCAAAGTGCTGGGATTACAGGCGTGAGTCACTGTGCCCAGCAGCGAGCCATGGGCTTCTAATAGGCAGAGATCCCCAAAACCATGGCACACGTCACGGAATACAAGATAACCTCAGTGTCCCTGGACAGACAACTTCACTTTGACAATTACCTACACACTGTAATAGGCACTGGGAAGCACCCTGACCAGTCACACAAGTCTTCAGGGTCAAGCATTTGCCTTAAGTTTTAAGTTTAAAAAGGTGAGTTCAGGCCGGGCTCGGTGGTTCAGCCTGTCATCCCAGCACTTTGGGAGGCTGAGGCGAGTGGATTGCCTGTACCCGCTGGTTTGAGACCTGCCCGGGCAACTTGGTGAGACCTCATCTCTACAATAAATAGCAAAATTAGCCAGGCGTGGTAGCACATGCCTGTAGTTCTGGCTACTTGGAAGACTGGCGGAAGGATCACTGGAGCCCAGCAGGTTGACGCTGGGTGGCCGTGAGCATGCCATGGCACTCCAGCCTGGGCAACACAGTGAGACTCCAGCTCAAAAAAAAAAAAAAAGTTCAGCAACAGTGGACACATGCCATTACTCACTTGATAAAACCACAAAAAGTGAGCCCTAGTGACATCAGCTGTGGACTTTAGTTAATACCAATGTCTCCGTATCAACTCATCAATAGGACAAATATACCACACGAAGCCAAGACACTCATGAGAGGGGCGCTAGGGTGTGGGTGGTGTATGGGAATTCTACTTTCTTCTCAATGTTTCTATAAACTGAAAAGTGCTCAGGAAAACAGTCTATTCATTTAAAAAATGTTTTTAATGAGTTGCAATTAAAATATGTTTAACAGAGCCACACCTCGACTCTGCAAAAAAAAAAATTTGTTTAAATGAGCTGGGCGTGGGCTGGGCACAGTGGCTCACTCCTGTAACCCCAGCACTTTGGGAGGCAGAGGTGAGAGGACTGCCTGAGTCCAGAGGTATGAGACTAGGCTGGGCAACTTGGCAAGACCTAGTCTCTACAAAGCAAAAAAAAAATCAAAAAATTAGTCGGGCATGGTGGCATGCAACTGTAATTCCAGCTACTAGGAAGGCTGAGGCAGAAGGATCACCTGAGCCCAGCAGGTCCAGGTTGCGGTGGCTATGAGTGTGCCGCTGCACTCCAGCCTGGGTGACAGAGTGAGACTCCTACTCAACAAATTAAAAATTAAATAAATAAATTAGTCGGGGGTGGTGGCATGTGCCCGTAATCCCAGCTACTCAGGAGGCTTTGGTAGGAGGATCACTAGAGCTAGGAGGCTGAGGCTGAGGTAAGCGGTGACTGTGCCATGGCCTGGTCTAAATAGATAAATAAAGCATGTTAACAGGGTCCGGTTACGATAAGGAGACATGTCTAGTGGTCTGCAATGGCTGAAGTCCCACCAGCATTGCAAGAGGGTGCCGGCATAGCCAGGGCTTGTGTCAAAAGCAAGACAGGCCCAGGAAAATGCCCTCTCTGGGATGGTTTTCCAGGTAAGGCATGGACAGAGACAGGAGACCAGGGGAGACCATGGGAAGTTTCCAAAGCCAGCTGGGGGACAGAAAGGTCACAAGAGGGATGAGGGTGTGGGAGGGGATCTGGGACAGACAGCAGGCCGCAGCGCCACAAGACCACCAGTGCTGGAGCCCCCAGGGGCAGGCTCCCTTCCCCCAGGGCCCCCGG